AAAGAAAGAAAAAGAAAATTTCTGAGAACGAAACTGTAGCTACTCTCACCAGACATGGTAAGCTGTGTTATTATTGCCACGTATTTTTAAAGACAAGACCAAACTATAAATGGATCTAACGCTACACAACACAAATTACACTGCCCTGCCCAAGTTTTAAAACAGCCTCCTTTTGTTAAATCGATTTACAAGAGAAGGCCAACTAAAAAAATACAATGAAGACATAAGATTGCATTTCACAATTTCTATTTCTATTTCAAGCAGACTGACGCGATTCAACAAACTCGTGCACAAGTATAACCGCAACCGAAAGGGCAGTATTCTAGCCTCCGTTACCTCCACCCATTCCAAAGAGTAAATTCTTACCCGCACATCTGTCAAACACAACCACAGCAACAGAACCTCCCTGGATGACCTCACGGCCCAAGGCATCAGGAGTTGCATGAAGCTGAGGAGGAAAAGGATGTACGCAGTGTCACCGCAACAGGGAGGAAAAAAAAAACACATAAGAGACTATACCTTACCATCAGAAACTGTTTCCCCTCCCCTGCAATTAGGGAAGAAGGTGTCCCAATCTGTGTTCTCCAAGGGAAAAAAGGACTTGATGTTGCAAAGAGAAAAAGGAGAACACCGGGACAACCTGCTTGGAGAGACACACACACCCCGAAACACCCAAGTAGGACAAAAGTTCTTCTCGAGAGAAATAGGTGAATGGAGAAGGAAAGAGGACCGATGCTGTCCTTTGGGGAGTCTTAAGGAGGGAGGGCCACGCAGTCCTAACCAAACAGGTGGAGCCTCCTTTATTTCTGAACTCCACCCCTATCTGATGGCTTTTGAAGGGAAAGAGGAGGGCAGGAGAGGAGTTCCCACAAAGCAAACCTAGGAATGAAATTGCTCCAAATTAAAGAAAAAGAGGGGAAGATGAGAGGGGGGGGACAAAAGAGCTACAAACCACGTACTACCCAGACAGGTTAGTTTTAGCAAACTTCCTCTCTGATAGAGGAGAATTTTTGTAGCTCAGGGTTGAACTGGGGGGGGGGGTCCCTGATGCTCTCTGAGCTTGGTGGCTTTCTTGCAGACGTTTCATCACCCAACTAGGTAACCTCATCAGTGCTGGAGGAGAGGAGGTTTGAGGAGGATACAGAGGATGAGAATGAGGAGGATTATAGGATCCTTGCTGCTCTCTGAGCTCGGTGATTTTCTTGCAGATGTTTCATCACCCAACTAGGTAACCTCATCAGTGCTAGAAAGGAAGGGGGGTTGCTCACTGGCAGGGCCAGCCGTTAGTACATAAACAGAGAGCAAACCCCACTTCCTTCTAGCACTGATGATGTTACCTAATCGGGTAAGGAAACGCCTACAAGAAAACAACCAAGCTCAGAGAGCACCAAGGACCCTACATTCCCCTCCCTCCTCCTCTACAAACCCCTCTCTCTTCAAACACTGATAATGTTACTTATAATTTGAAGAATGAAACATCTGCAAGACTAAGCCAGGGGTCTTCAAACTTGGCCCTTTGATGACTTGTGGACTTCAACTCCCCGAATTCCTCAGCCAGCACATGTTATCCTGCTGGCTATATCTCTAGCTGTCGAAAGTGTTTAGAAATAAACAAGCTTTTCTGGCAGACATTTCAGTACCATACTAGATAACATCATCAGTGCTGATGATGTTACCTAGTTGGGTAATGAGATGTCTGCAAGAAAACAACCAAGCTCAGAGAGTACCAAGGACCCCACAGTCGTCGTCGTCGTCGTCCTCCTCCTCCTTCTCCTCCCAAATCTCAGTTCCTTCCAGCACTGATGATGTTACCTAGTTGGGTAATGAGACGTCTGCAAGAAAACAATTAAGCTCAGAGAGCACCAAGGACCCCACAATCCCCCTCTCCCTCCTCCTCTCTACAAACCCCCCTCTCTCTTCTAGCCCTGATAATGTTACCTCGTCTGGTCATGAAACGTCTGCCAGAAAACCGCCCAGCTCAGAGACACCCCCCCCAGGACCCCCTCAACCCCTATAAAGATACCCCCACTCACCCACCCACCCCACGTAGAGAGAACATGAATTCACCAAAATAAGGGGAGGGGGGGGAACAGCTGCCACAGGGCCTGAAGAGCCAGTCCAGTCAAGCCAGGGGCCTCTTCACCTGCCCGGCCAGGCCAGGCCCCTTTCAGCGAAGCGAGGAGGGCTGGAGGTCGGCCTATCGAGAAGGATGGAGGCCGGGTGGGGTGGGGTGAGGAAGAGCCGGGCCTGAAATTTGAGGCGGGGGGGAACCAGGCCCGACGCCCCGCCTGAGGGGAGCCTGGGGTGGGGGGAGGGGCAGGCGACCTTCGGAGCCCGCGCTCACCGCTACTTACCTGCTGCCGCCGCCGCCGCGCGCACGCGCAGTCCCAGCCGCCTCTGTTGTTGCCGCGGCTGCTCCCTGGCCGGCTCCCTCTTCGCCCCGATTGGCCGCGGCGCTAACTTTCGGGCCGTCATTTGCATAAGGCGGGACCGGGGAAGCAAAAGGGATTGGCTGAAAGAGGGAGGCGGAGAGGGAGGGGCGAGGGACGGGAGCCGGCGCTGCGGCGCAGAGCCGACGAGGCGCATCTAAGGGGTTTTAGTGCGCCTGCGCGTGGGGCTGATTTTTTTTTTTTTCCCCTCTAGGCCAGGGCTCCTCAAACTTGGCCACTTTTAAGACTTGTGGAGTTCAACTCCCAGAATTCCCCAGGGAATTCTGGGAGTTGAAGTCCACAAGTCTTAAAATGGCCAAGTTTGAAGAGCCCTGCCCCAGGTTAGGGTTGCCAGGTGTCCACTATTTGAGTGGACAGTCCACTTTTTTCACATTATGTTCACTATTTTTTTTCACAAAATAGTGGACATTTTTTTTATTCAAAAGCTTTATGATGAAATGGTACGTAATCTAAAGCTGTACAGTCTACTTTTTTTACTACTTAAACCCCCCCCCCCCCGCTTGTCCGCTATTTTTTGGAAGCAGACCTGGCAACCCTACCCCAGGTTGAAGAAGAAGTGCTTTGCAAGAAGCGCGTGCAGTTTTTTGCGGGGCTCCCTCCCTCCCTCCGTGCGTGGGAAGGCCCCACGGATTGCACCCCGTTTGTATCCAAGCCTGTCCGTTTGTTTGCACAGATGGGAGAGCATCAGATCTTTCTTCCTGGCTTGAATCAGGGGAAGAAGGAAAGTGCATTTTTTAAAAAAAATGCCTTTGCGAACAGTAAAAGATTATTTAAAAAAAAAAATCAAAATGTCTTTGCAGGGGCTGGCAAGGAGACACTTGAATCTGGGGCCTTCTGCATAATTTTAGCAGCCCCAGCAAACCCCCAATCCTGCATAAAGCTATGCACTAAGTCACTTGTTTTGAGATGGAAGACTATAGAAATTAAATGAATGAATGAATGAATGAATGAATGAACGGTGGCTCTTGTTTTGACCCATCACCTATACCACCAGCAAATATTTGAGAGAGAAATATTATTGGAAGGTAACCTTCCCCACCCCCACCCCGTGTTTGTCATTCAACAACTCTGCAGAAGTTTCAAAAGCAACTTCAGTTTAAATATTTGGAAGGCTAAGAGAATAAAATTCTAATCGACTTTCTCCAGGCTCCATGAAGTTTTCTAATTCTAATTAAAGCCTCTTCAGCAGATCTATTCAGTCTCTCAACATCCAAATCTTTCTGGTCTATTTTAGCCTTACCCAACTTGCGGGATTTATAAATATTCTGGGAACTGCAGCTTCGTGGATTCCCAGGCAACGTGGCCATTACCAGTTCTAGCATGCCTGGAGAGTGCTACTGGGAATTGCACGTTTGTTACATGCAACAACGCTAAAACCTCATCCTAAGTCTTTGGCCAGACTGTCTCTTGTCACCCAGAGTGTTTTTTTTTTAACGACATCCAAGCATTGTGCTGATTGAAGAGTGGTTTATAGCATCTCAGCAGTGCCCAGATGACACCCACGCATGTCTCTCAGACCTCTTTGGCTCCTATGGTAAGATACCAACCAATATTACGTTGGGAAATACATCACACCATTCAATGAAGAACTCGGATCAACTTTCTGCACAGAATATTTATTAGAACCGAATGTGGCAATTTAGAATTTGCTTCAGCGAAACCAGAAAGGCAGAGAAGAACAGCACAGCAGCAAAAATGACATTTTGTAATAACCTGGCGGTGCCTGTCTAAAGCAATATTTCTGTGATACAAGTCCTCAAGGAAATAGAACAGCAGTTCAGTTCTGCCTAAAATATCACATGCTGCTTAGGTCAACTGTGCTTGTTTGCAAAACTCCACCTTTGGACAATGAATGGGAAGCAAAAGTTTACATTAAAAGGAAATCAGCAGAGAAGATAAATATTTACTTTAAAAAAAAAACAGACCTCACCTGACTTGGGATTTGGCCAACTGAGAGGCCTTTCCAAAATGTTAGACTACAGCTCCTGTAATTCTGAACCAGCTAAGCCCTGTGCAGGATTATGGAAGTAGGAGTCCAACACATCTGGAGAATGATGGGTTGGGCATGTAGTTTTATACCAAGGACTAATACTTGTGAAGATAGGAATTGTTCATTAAGTTAGATTTAATGTAGCTAAATATGACCTTCCCAGAAGACATCAAAATATGGCCCCTGGCTTTGACACTGAAAAGGAGTCCCTTGCTTGGTTGATTTTTTCCAGCAACAAAAATTTCAATGTGCCCTTTTAGATGAAGCAAGTGTAATCTGCCTGTCTCAGCATTATGGGATGAGGTCCAGATTACGTCATCTTTTACATCTAGCTACTTTTTCTACCATCCTTCTTAGCAAAGGAAAACTCGTAAGGAGGGAAACAGGAAAACGCATATCCAGTTTGGCTGGCCATCCTGCTTCTAACCCTCCATTGGGATCCAGGGAGAGAAAATTGTGACAGTTGCAGTTAGCAAGCTGCCAAGATCTGCTGGCTTTGTTGACGTTCTGGAATCAAGCAGTTGGGGAAGGTGAATTCTGATATCCCTTTTTTGACCTTGACCTTCAAGGAAAGAATTAAGCACCTCCCCAACCCCAATTGCTCCTATCAAATGTAGAAGGCCTTCCCTTGGCAGCATTCAGAGAAAATGCTTTTGGAGATGTTCAACATCTCTCTTTTCCAATATTCCACAAACAAAATATAGGGAATCTTTTGCGCAACACCCACATTCATATCATAAAACAACAGTGTTGGGTTATTGGAGACGTTATAGCGTTCTCCCTCTTGAGATTATCATGTATATTGCTTCATTTATTTCAAAATATGCAAAGCTAATTCTGCTGTAGACTGAGCCTCTGCTCCCACACTGAGTAATGTCCACAATCTTTTCCCATGTAATTTAAGGAATTTAACTCGGAAAAACCTACTTCCCACTGCTTTGCACTGGCAGTTGGAAATAGGCAATGGCCCAAGTTAAAATTGATATAGTGTGCAGAAAACAGAGATTAAAAATGAGGCTATGTTTCTTTTCCCCTTCTTACTGTTTGTTAGAAGTTCCAATAAACTAATCATAGAAAAAATGATCACATCTACTCCCCCATATTTATATTCCAGATTTTTGGTTAATATACAAAAATATATTAAGCTGCTAGCTAAATATCCAGTTTAAAGCTTCAGTATATAACTCTCTTCACTTGAGTCTGAAAAGAATAGGTGTAAAGGAATTAAAACTCAAGAATACTGCCAAAAATATGTTATCTTGCATATACACTTATCCTTTTAGAGATATGGGATACAAATGTGTAAGAAATTAACCGTAACTGATTTCCCAACAATGAAGAATGTGTAATCTCACAACAAAATCAAAGATATTTATAAAATAATTATCCCCCAGAGAGACAATTATGATAGGAGTAGACAGTAGACAGAAGTAGACAATAGATAGAAGAAGCTGCCTGATACTGAATAGGACAATCGGACCATTTAACTCAGTGTTTTTCCAACTTGGGAACTTTATAATATGTGGACTTCAACTTCCAGAATTCCATGCTGGATGGGGAATATTGGGAGTCAAAAATCCACACATCGTAAAGTTGCCAAGTTTGAAAAACTTTGAATTAACTCAATATTTTCTTCTCTGGGTAAAATGAGAATAAACAAAAGAGTGATTCTCCTGGCGCTTTGGATTCCAACTCCCATCAGCCTCAACCCATGGTAAAAGACTGTAGAAGACATCACCCGGGCGCCTGATGCTTTCAAAATCAAATCCATCCCAGGGATGCCAGAAGGCAAACTTAGAGGTGTGCAAAACATTTGAGATTCTTACTTCAAGCAATTCTGGAGTGTTTCAGGCTCAAAAAGCTCCTGAAATAGTTTGGGGGTGGGGAAAGGTGTTTCGTGCCTGATGTCTTGAGAGCTTTGGAATCAAAACACTTTGCACACCCATTTAAAATCCTTGGCATTCAAGGCACATGTTTTGGAATTGAGCATTCCTAGCTGTGGCTAAAGACTTCTCAGGGATAAATGGAATAAGAAGTGCTCCTGATGATTCAACCTCCCTCCCTCTTTTTCTTTTTTTTTTTAAAAAACAGATGGTCCTGCTTCCTCTCATTCCTGGTATAATGCCTGCTTTTATCAGTTGCTGGCCAAGTGGAATGAATGGATATCCAAGATGCCACCATGGAATGAAGGACAGAAGGAATTTGGATAAGCAACCAAGACAGCAGGAGGAGCCCCCCAAATGCAGCTATTTGAAACCAAGGCAGCAATCCCTCCTATTCCTGATGTAGCATCCTCGGTGACTCTAACTCCACCATTGCTAAATGTGAGTCACTCGGCCTGCCTGAAGACGAGGAAGGAGGAATAACTTGAGAACACGAGGAAGAGGGTGCTTGATGAATCCAAGAGTCCTTAGGAGAACCCAGGCCACATGGACGAAGGCAGGCGTCTCTTTGGGCAGGCTGGTCCAATCCCTGGAATCTAAGGAGAAAATTGGATAGGGAACATGTCAGCTAGGCTGACAAGCCACAGGTAGAATCTTGCTAAAGAGAGATCCAATCTAGAAGTAAGGAGAAATTTTCTGACAGCAAGAACATTTAATCAATGGAATCGCTTGCCTCCTGGAATTGTGGATGCTCCATCACTGGAGATTTCAAAAATAAACTAGACAACCATTGGTCTGGGAAATGGCATAAGTCTTCTGCCTTGAGCAGGGGGTTGGATTAGAAGGCCTCCAAAGTCCCTTCCAGCCCCACGATTCCATGTTCTATGCTCTAGGCAGGATCTCCACCGACATCTCCAGATCTCTAACCCTTGCAGAACATGCTCACCTAAAAGAGCTTCTCGTAGCACTTATCACAGTGGACAATATCCCGATGAATGAAGATTTGATCCAAGAAGTCTCCCATTGGCTTGTGGCAGATTCCGCACTGCGAGAGAAAAAGCAAAAGAGTTGCTCTCTACTTAGCTGCGGACAGGTCTTTTGCATGCCTATACAAAATGTAGACTGGTGCACCAGTTGCTCTGCAGCTAGACAACTAAACAAATAACCAGTGGCTCCATCTGTAATGTATTTGCCCTGTGACTGAAGTCAGACCATGCATGAATTCACAGGCTAAAGCTTAGGGGTGTCAGACAGAAACTGTGAAACTTAATGATGCAGCTAGGGAGTGAAGGTTCCCTTCTACTTTCTTCTCCTGACTTATTTATTTGTATCCTGTCTTCATTATTTTTAACAAGAACTCAACTCTAACACACTTTTGTACTCTTACTTTCGCCACAGCAACAATCCTGTGAGGAGAGTTGGGCTAAGAGAAAGAGAGAATCTCTAGCCCAAGGTCACCCAGCCGGCTCTCGTGGTTAAGATGGGACTTAAACTCATGGTCTCTTGCTTTCTAGCCTGGTGTCTTAACCACTAGACCAAACTGGGGCTTCTTCACAGCTCCATGAATACCACAGTTATAAGGAGCACCCTTACTTTGAAGCAGTATTCGTGGCAGCTGATGTTGAGGTTCTCAATTGATATCTTGGCACAGTTGCGGATTACTCGGCCACAGCAAGTACAAATGTCTTCCAAAGACCTAGGAGAAAAAAGGAAGGTGATGGCAGTCCAAGACAGTGGTAAACATTCTTCTAACTTCATGTTGAAGAAGATACGCTGTTTTCTACACTACATGCAACTCAGAAAGCTCTTATGGCCAAATCCTATCAGTAGGGGGCAAAATTGGTGGTGAAATGTCGGAAGACAGAGGTGTGTCAAGCACACTGTCTTAATGTCAGCATACTCCTGCTCTGTGTGAAATTGCAAGGACGACACTTGTCTTTTGCCTCCCACTTAAAAACACAGACTAACTGTAGGAAAAGGAGTGGCAAAACCTGAGGTCAGAGTTAAAAGAGGGATCAGCCTAGAATCCCTGCATAGCCACAAGTGAACGAAGTCCACCCCCCTCCTTGAATTCTGTTTATCCTTATCTAAATCCAAGCAAGTTCTATTAGTTGGGAAGACTCCTGTGCATAGGCATGAGCATCAATAAATAAGTTTAATTGGACCTTCATCTGTGGACTTTTCGCATCTGACACTGAATTCTTGATAAAATTATGTGCTGGATTTCAGACTCACAAGCTCTGCTCAATTAATTAGCTGAATTCACACAATACACAAAAATCTAAATCAACAGTGATCCCTGTAATCATAGACACACTTCACAACAAACCTTACCAAGGGTAATTCCCCCAACAAAAAACAATAGCCAGGTTCACACAATACGTTGGACCACAATACAATCCCATTTTCTGCCTGGTTCAAGAAAACTTGGCAGTTGCCTGCTTTGGGAGGGATCCCGTATCAATCCACAACAGGAACAACATGTCAAAGGTTGGCTTTACCTTTTTGAAGGTGTGCTATTTAGATAGCTGGAACTGCTGTAGCTTGGATTCTCAAGTTCAGACAAGTCAACCAAACTGCGACTGGAGAAGGAGAAGACATGAATGAACCAAGAATGGTAAGTGAAAAAAGTACGAACGTGAAGATAATAGGAGAAAATAATAAGAGGACCCAGAACTAAATGTGAGCCCCCATAAAACATTGCAAGCAAATTCTTCTGATTGGCATGAGATGTTTCTGCATTGCAGACAGAACGGCTGGCTTGTCTTCCGTTTGGTTTCCTCACCTGTTGTAACGTGGGGTGGAGGACAGTTCCATGCTTTTGATGGATTCTTTCACAAAGAGAAGGCCTTTGCTACAGGGGGAGAAAGAGATACACATTTCAGAGGAGGCACTGATTGATAAGGAATGTAATATCTGCTATGTTGAAAAGCTAGAAGAAAGAGTTCCCCCCACACACAAAAAAACCCCCCTCTTTCTTCAATATACGCTACCCTGATGCAGAGGGATCTGAATCATAATTAGAAAAATTCTTCTGTTCAAAGGAAGTAGGGTGATCCTTTGCCTCGGAATCAGTCAGAGTCCTGTAAGAGAAAGAAATCTGAACACTATAGTATCACGTCTGCGGATCAGATACTCAAACTTGGTTGTCATGCTTTCTAGGCAAGATCATCTCCCTTCATCCTCTCTTTGCGAAACAGAAGTCAGTAATGTGCAAGCGACACACACGGATAACAATGCATCTACCCATCCAGGCAGGGCTTTTTTTGGCATAGAATGCCCAGAACGGAGTTCCGGCACCTTTTTTGGATGGAACCTTGTAGGGTAGGCAAGGCGGGTTGTATGACATGTGTGAGTTCCGGCACCTTTTTTTTTTTTTTTTTTTTTTTACAAAAAAAGCTCTGCATCCAGGTATATCCTGCAGGTTCTGAGATAAGCTGCTGTAAAAATGAATGGCTCCAGACGAAATCTTTAGGAAAGGCAGTCTATACAAAGAATCCAAGAAACGTGTGATTGTGATGCCATCTGCAGGATGATTTGAGATATTGTAAAAACAGGACAAAAAGATGTAGGATAGTTGGTTGCATAGATAAATGGGTACCCTAAGTTCAGGGGAAATTTTACTTTATTTTTTGGGGGGTGCCTTCAAATTAGTCTTGATTCCTAGCGAGTCCCTGCAGTTTTCTTGGCAACATTTCAGAAGCGGCTTACCATTGTTTTTTTTTTCCTAGGGCTGAGAGACAATGACTGGCCTAAGGTCACTCAGCTGGGCTTTGTGCCCTGATATATATATATATATATATATATATATATATATATAAATATTCTAATAATTCATATATGAGTTAACATTAGGGTATTCACTTCTTTAACTTTACCTTCCACTCTCTGTGTCACAGATGTCCTTATAAAAAGGCACTCTATGGCTTTTTGGAACATTACTCCCAGCATCTCTGAAGGGGTAGTAAGACACACTAGGAAGAAACGTAGATAGGTATTAATTCAAGTCTTAACACACACACAAAAAAATACCCATAAGAACAAATGAAATGATGTAATGACCATACAAGAAAGGGAATTCTGAATGATAAGATCCAGACCTTTATTCTGAATATCACTCAGTTTAGTCGAATTACAGAATAACAGAATAATAGAGTTGGGTAGGAATCTTGGAGGTCTTCTAGTCCAGCCCCCTGATCAGGTAGGAAACCCTATACCAGTGGTGGCGAACCTATGGCACGCGTGCCAGAGGTGGCACTCAGAGCCCTCTCTGTGGGCACGCGTGCCGTCGCCCCAGTCCTGCCTTCCTCCATGGCCCCCTCCTCACCAGAAGCTCCCCCCGGAGAGTTGCCCCGGGCGTGGCCCACGCAGAACAGGCAGCCATGGACATGGCAGCCAGGTAGCGGGGACAAGACTCTGCCCTCGTGCTCTGTCATGCGCAGATGATGCTACAGGGTGCGGGTGGAGGGTGTAGCCACCATGGCGCTGCTGGGCCGCCTGGGCAATCTGCTGTGGCAGGCCGTGGAGGCGGTGGGTGGCCCTGCGGGCAGGCAGGGCGGAGGGTGGTGGGCAGGGCAGGGGCGGGGTGGTTTTGGGCACTCGGTCTCTAAAAGGTTCGCCATCACTGCCCTATACCATTTCAGACCAAGTAATGTCCTGAACTTAATGTCCTAAGCTTACTAAAACTTTGCTTTTTTACAATGTTCATTCTGGTTTGTTTGTTTTTCCCCCATTCTGAATTCTCTCTTTGCAAAACCAGCCTCCCATCCCATCCCCAGGGGCTAGATTGTATCATGGGGGGGAAACAATGCAAGCCATTCCCCTACTCTTCTGTGAAGGTGTGAGGTTACCAAAGATCAACCTTGTAATTGTTAGGGAAATCTTCAAGAAAACACTTTTTAAAAAAAAAGCAGTTCTGGAGAACACAACCTCTTCTTGGCCAGATCATTTTAGAGCTTTAAGAAAGATTTATTTTACTTTATAAGATAGTTGACACGTTTGTGATTTGTCATTTATTAAAACAGAATGACCGTAGAAATGTCACCTGCTTCTGGGTCAGTTCTCAGATTTGATTTGCAAACCATATTTCCCCTGTCATTCCTAAAGGCGCTTCCTTTAAGATTTCTACATTCTAGTGGGCTCTCTTCCTTAAAATCTTCGCTCTTAACCATTGACTTAGAAATCTTAAAGGTGGAGAAATAGTTCAGATAAATAAGGGCTTAAGAATATGCCAGTAATGCCCAGAAACCTCGCCCCCAAAGGACTGCTATACCATAAGAGGCCAGAAGTTCATAACAAGTCTACGAGTGCTAATTAATATGTAAAGATGCAAATTTAGAAATTATGGCTCTCAAACAGCAATAGATCTCAGGTTGAGGAGGAAGACAATGACAGGAGAATGTACGTGTCTCTATAGCTTGCTACCCTATGCTAAATGTTGATTAGCTTCTTTAGGGTTCCTGCTTTCGCTTTTCTAAATTATTTAATTGGACAGCTCTTCAGATTGATGAGGCTTTTCAATAGACAAATGCCCCCGCCAAGACTTATGAAGACATACATCCTCTCTAAAGCAGGACATTTGGGCCATCTCCTCATCCCTAGAAATGACCCACTTCTTTTCATCTCGAATTATTGCCTCATTACCTTCTGCTGTTGAATGGCTGATTGTACAAGTAGGATGCTATTCCGTGGTTGAATCTCAACATTCTGCTGTTGTAAAGTTGATTGGTCCTGTTTGTTCCATTCCTAGACTCTGAAGATCTGATAAAATGGCCAGCTTGGTGATCCAGATGTGAAAAAATCCTGAGACCAATGTCCAACACAGGGAGGGCTGTAAATTGGGTTTTCTGTGACTGGTTTAACATGCTAAAAGTAGTTAGTCCCTCTAAAGAGAGTAAAAGAAATCCTGTCTCTCTCTCTCTCAGAGGATAGTTGATTAGAAGGTTACCTTCCAGAAACTACCAGTTTAGGTAATCCATAAACATGGACGATTTCTGGGAATAAGCATCTGGGAATAAGTAGCATCCTCCAGATGTAAAGAGGTTGAGTGGAAAGGAAAACCAGCCACATCTGCCTGGGGTTGAAAAAGCAAATGTCAAATAGTTTGCAAAATGACAAACTATTGTAATGCTAACAAGAGATGGAAAAGACAACCAAGATTACAATCCTAACCATATGTACTTGGAAGTTGGTTATTAGAACTCAAAGGCTTTAGCATCCAAGTAATATGTTGAGAATCATGATGAAGGAGAATATATTAAAGGAAAGAGAAAATGAAAATATCCTAAAGAAGAAAAACAAACTGTAGAAATGACTCCAACCTTAAGAAAGAAAAATGTTGATAGGAACGTAAGTAGCCCATTTCATGAGTTACTTCTCATGAAATGTGTCCAGCATAAAATAATTCTTCAAATAGCACTCAAAAATATTTGGCTATTTGAAAAGAATTTGAGATGAAGAAGATAAAAGCTACAGCACGATTGCTGAAGAAGCTAGAACCCCAAAATCCACTGGGAAGAACTTGGAGGGGGGGAGCAGAAGATAGGAAATGAGGAGGAGAGATGGATAAACAATGCATAATAAATATTATATATCCAGTCTTTAAAACATGCCTTATCATACTTCTTTGTAGCATAGCTCAATTGACTGTGAAAATGCAGGTTAGGTTTTCTATCAAAAAGGAGGACATCATTAAAATTATTCTAATGAGATGCTTATGATCACTTGGCAAAGAGCATACTCTTTGGGCATCTCCTGTTCAGGATAAGCTATGAGTTATAATCATCAAGATTAACAAAAAGGGTCTCTAAAGTAAAATTAATTTCAGGTTCTTAAAGGGATTGAACACCATGAAACAAAAATGTAACACAATTCAAGAGAAGGAAAATACTCTGTATGCTGTATAACAGCCAAACTGCTTAGAACAAATTCACTGATCACGAGAAACATAAAGTTAATATGATGGGAAAAGAATGCATGAATTGACCAAAAGCATTTGTAGAATAATTTCCTATTATCTGTTTGCAAAACTTCACAAGGTATGTGAATACTCTTCTAATAGTAAACCTGGTTTTGTGCGTCACTCTCAGAAGGGCATGGGCGTTTTTAATTCTAGCATTTGGCACCATCTATCCATGAATACATTCAGATTTTGGTATGAGCTGTGCATTCCCTTTCAGAAAAGAAGGAGATGATTTAATCTGAAATGCTAAAACTTGAATATATTGAGACGCCAAGAACTTTTTAAATACAGATATGTTATTAAGTTGAAGAATCCTACAGTTTGCAAAGTTACACAAGTAGGATACAAGGTTTGATCTAGAAATCTCTCCTTGCCGAACTAAAATCTAAACTAGAAGGAGAAGAGAAGAAAACAGAGGAGGAAGATGAGAACTAGGAACAGGGAACCCTCCCAAACTAAAAATGAAGGATAGAAAAAGTGTGCTGATCTATCCCGTGCTTCTTGACCCTTTTTAAGCTGGACCATCAAGGAACTGAGCTTTAAACCGCCATGCACATACCTGACACTAAGGAAGGCATCTCTCCATTTCTTCTATTTAAAATCATAGGTGTCCATTCCTAACTGCAATGACACCAAATGATACAACATGCCTTGTGACATCCTAACATGTCTTTTGTCTCTTGCCACCCCCACCTCAGTGGGGGTATCTATGCCAGAGACCTAACACTCACTTTAGTGTGAGAGCCCACATAGAATAATCCACCATCCGCAAAAGCCACAATCTTGTATCAGGCTAACAACTTAACCCACCTAAAGTGAAGGTTTAGCTAAATGTGGCCCAGACCTGTATCTCCAGCTGCTTGTTGCAATGAACAAGAATCACTGGGGATTAAGAAAAAGAAAAATCTATCCTCATCAGTAAGATGAAATATGTTGGTTTTTTTAAATGCACAGTAGCAATCAATCAATCAGTCAGTCAGTCAATCAATCAGCTGGAAGGGACCTTGGAGATGGTGTAATCCAACTCCCTGCTCAAGCAGGAGATCCTAAACCATTTCAGACAAGTGGCTGTCCAGTCTCTTCTTAAAAACCTCCAGTGATGAAGCACCCACAACTTCTGAAGGCAAGCCGTTCCACTGGTTAATTGTTCTCACTGTTAGGAAGTTTCTCCTTAATTCCAGGTTGTTTCTCTCCTTGATTAGTTTCCATCCGTTGCTTCTTGTCCTGCCTTCAGGTGCTTTGGAAAATAAATTGACCATCTCTTCTTTATGGTAGCCACTCAAATACTGGATACTGCTATTATGGTCACCCCTAGTCCTTCTTTACTCTAGACTAGTCAAACCCAAATCCTGCAACTGTTTTTCATATGCTTTCAAATGTATTAGATTGTTTCTCTGTGTGTTCAGTATTTTGTGTCCCAAAATACAGTCTGAGAGATAGAAATGAAAGTGAGGAACAATCATTAATAGCAGATGGTGGTCCATCCATACCCCGATATTAATATCTACCAGTAGTTGTGGTGTCCTTCTTGAGCTCAAATATGTAGAAGAAGAGTATGAGTTTTTTTGTCCATCAAATGCCACATGCTTGTCCTGATTTTATTACATATCAGACTTGAATCCTCTGGCTGAATACGTTAAAGCTAGAAATATGAATCTAACCCAAGAACTCAGAAGCTCAAATCTTATTTCTCAAAGGAACTTAGAAAATTCCAAAGTTATGCTGCCTTTCCTTTCCTTTCCTTTCCTTTCCTTTCCTTTCCTTTCCTTTCCTTTCCTTTCCTTTCCTTTCCTTTCCTTTCCCTGTTTCTAACCGAGGCCCAGAATCAACTTGCTAATTTCAAAGGCATAACAAACAGATTGAGATGAGGAGAATGCACCCTTACCACCTGCCATGTTGAATCAAGAGGGATTTTTTTTTAAATGAGCCTTTGAAAGGAACCACGGAAAGCCGGGAACCAAGAAACAAAAGGATTGTACAATCAAAAATATAGGAGAGCTGGGGTATTTCTTGCCCACTTCATTACTGAACAAGGCTGCAAACTTCACATTGTGTTCACAAGAGTCTTTCTGACATTCTCTTCTTCTTTGAAAGATATTTCAAAGCCAAATCTGCTTTCCTTGAGTTGAAGGAGAAGGGGCAGGAAATATAAAATAAAGCCGGACAAATTGCTCTGCGCAACACTGGGTTTCACCAAGGTGTCGGGAGCAGACAGGTGTCCTTACCTGTCTGAATCTTCATCTGATCTGTGATCTCTGTACTGGTTCTGTGGGGAGGTAATTCTACTCTCTGTAGCAAAGGAACTGCACCTGCCAAGGAAGAAATGGGAATGTCTATTTACTTCTGCCCTCCAGGGATTCTCATTTGAGCAGAAACAGGTATGGCAGATGCATCAAAAGATCTGCTGAGCTTCTGATCCCCCCAAAGCAAGGACAGGGATTTCTACAAGTGGTCCTTGCTTAATGACTCCCATCCAGAGGCTGTTCAGACTTATGAGGACACTGAATAAGTGGTACTTATGACCAGTGGTGGGATTTAAATATGTGAACAATGGGTTCTCTGTGTGGATGCCACTTCCGGAAGTCCATTCTGGGCCTGGGCAACAAAAAAATTAGCTACCGGTTCTGCCGAAGTGGTGTGAACTGGCTGAATCCCACCACTGCTTATGACCAGTCCTTGAAGTTGAGGCTACTGCATCGCACTTGCGGTCATGTGATTGTAATTGGGGCATTTGGCAACCAGAGTCCCACAGAGTCCCACAGTCACACGCTTTGTGATTTGTGTCCATCCTGGCTGGCTTCCTACAAGCAAAATCAATGGGGAAGCCAGCAGGAAGTCAGAAAGATCCCACGAGGTCCTCGCTTAGCAGCCCAGTATGGTCCTCGCTTAATGATTGCAACCGGGATTGCCATCGTTGCTGTTGCTAAGCAAGGTGGTCATGTGACACCATGACCATATTGCTTGGCGACAGAAATTCTGGCCCCAAGGACCATTGTTAAGCAAGGACTACCAGTAGTCTCTTAGTTTGCAGCAAAAAGATCACATTGTACCTCATTTCAACCAGCCAGAATCCTTTGCCCAAACTTTATATGTTGTACACAACATTTTGCTATTCCCAAGCCAGTTTTTTTTTTTTTTACTGAAACTAAAATTCACCTGGAAACCTCCACATCTGATTCCTCCCTCTTGGGAGTACTTAAAAGTTCACACTGGACCCCAGTGGTACTCAGATTGTGTTCCCCAAGCTGTAGCTCAGACCTGGAAAAAAAAATAAGAACCCATAGAGGTGAATATTTGTCGCTCACGGTTGAACTGTGGAGTCCTTGGTGCTCACTGAGTTAATCAGACTAGCACTGATTGTCTTACCTAGTTTGGTAATGAAACGTCTGCAAGAAGCAACCAAACTCAGAGAGCACCAAGGACTCCACAAAAGTAAGAACATTGGCAAATCTGTTCTTCTTAAACCTTGCTGCTTAGTGTTCCCGGGCCTTTTCCTGCCACCTCCAATTTTACTGGAGATTTTTATTCTTTTTCAATTGTGCTTTAGAAGTGCTTTTAAATGCAAAACATTAAACTGCCAGGAAAAGTCATACATTATTATTATTATTATTATTATTATTATTATTATTATTATTATTATTATTATTATTATTATTATTTTACCTTCTAGATTTCTGTGGGTTCATTCAAACTGGAATGATGGGCATTTTTTTTTCATTAACTTGCAGTGATTTGCTTAACAGCTATGGCAAAAAGTTCGTAAAATGGGGCAAAACTCTCTTAACAACTGCCTTGCTTAGCCGTGGAAAGTTTGGGCTCATTTGTGATCGTAAGTCAAGGACTTGCAATAGAAATCTTTTAGGAAGCAGGCTAATGACAGGGTCCTGAGATATTTAATAATAATAATAATAATAATAATAATAATAATAATAATAATAATAATAATAATAATAATAATAATAATAATAATAATAATAATAATAATAANACGTGGTTGTTCCAGCAAGCGGGACTGGCCTAGGGGATTTTAGAGGGGTTTTAATTACTTTTAAATTTGACATTCTTAAATATTTCATTTTAATCAAATTTTAAATTAGGTGTAATATGTTAGCTTTTTATCACTTGTCAGCCGCCCTGAGTCCGAAAGGAGAAGGGCGGGATATAAATACAATTAATAAAATAAATAATAATAATAATAAAAAGGGCTATAGCACAAAACGTGTTGCATATATCGCTAATCAGTAGCAATTCATTTCTCTCAGCTTCAGAAGCTGATTGGGGGTCTTTAACAGCATTCTCCCTCCACCCAACCTATCTTCCAGAATTGTGGTGTGCAAGGATCAAAAGGGACTACGATACTGTTCTGCAGACATCAGCTTGAATGCTAAGATAGAAATCAAACAAAAACGTTGTTTTGAAAAGGGCTTACTTGTCAAAAAATGTGTGACTCTGCAATTCATTCTTCTCACTGTGGTTAGAAAACAAGTGATATTAGAAAACATTTCTTCATCCTTTGTACTTCCTTCCTAAACCCTCAACTGACCAATAACTAGCTTCTCCATTGTTGGTTGGGGGCATTCACAGGGAAGGGAGGGGTCAAAAGAGTTAAGATATTTGCCTGTCACTGCGCAACGGAAGTCCCACTCATTTTTATGTCCTGGCATGCACAGCCTTGAAACTCAAAAAACACCAATTGGAGCCATTGCACATTCTTCAGTGAGCAGTAGAAGACTGCAAAAAATGAAGTCCCACCAGGGTCCTGTCTTCCACCCTGCCATCTACAGTCTGTTTCAAGGGGCATTCAAAACATCTCAGTATTCATAATTGAGGGCTTCAAAAGCAGCCCAAGTTATTCTTTTTCTGCATAATTTATCAAAAGAGAACCGATAGAAATAGTTTACTTGGGCAATTTAGAATTATAGGGTTGGAAGGGACCTTGTAGATCTTCTAGTCCAGAGGTCCCCAACCTTTTGGGCACCAGGGACCGGTTCCGTGGAGAAAGGTTTTTCCACGGACCGGAGAATGCGTGGTTTTGTGTGCTGCCTGCATCCCACGGATGGGGTTTGCTTGTTTGTGCGGACCTGTTCTTGGCATGCCGTGGCCCGGTATTGGCCCACGGACCGGGGGTTGGAGACTCCTGTTCTAGTCCAACCCCATGCCCAAGGCAGGAGTTAAGATATTTGCCTGTCACTGCACAACGGAAGCCCCACTCATTTTTATGTGCCATCCTAGTTAAATGGTTGTCCAGTCTATTCATGAAAACCTCCAGCGATGTTGGACCCACAACTCTGGGAGGCAAGCTGTTCCATTGATTAATTGATTAATTGGTCAGGAATGTCCTTAGTTCCAGGTCTCTCTTTAATGCTTCCACCCATTGCTTCTTGTCCTGCAGGTACTTTAGAGAGAATGGTTTGGACTCGTGTGGACTTTACCTTCTTTTTGGAGAAGTAGGGATCCTGGGGACAGAATCATGTCCAGAACTCATTTCATACTTCTCATCTGAGTTGTTACTGGAAAAGGAAAACAAACTATGGTTGAATAAAGCATGGGGGAGGTAGCTAAAAGAATCATACTGAGAAATTGAAGATGTGATATTATGGAATGAGAGACAGGTTAATCTAATGGTTAAGACACCAAGCTAGAAACTAGGAGCCTGGGAGTTCTAGTCCTGCCTTAGCCATGAAAGCTGGCTGGGTGGCTTTAGGCCAGTTCCTCTCTTTCAGCCCACATGTCAGTTTTGAGTGAGAAGTCAGTCAGTCAATTCCTGTTGCAACCAATGGGTCACTACTCGGTAGATCCCCCAAAAGCAGACTCTGCACTTGAACATGCCCCCAGTTTAACCAAAAGAAAGTTTAAAAACATCTTGCTCCTTAAAACACACAAGCAGCTTGAAAATCCCCAAATAAGCCAACAAATCTAAGATACCTTATCTGGGGTTTGTCGTGGACATTACCTGCGCTCCACAGATGTAGAGTAATTGAATGAAGTTTCAAGGTAGGGTTTTGAGGCCACATTTCTTCTGCTGCTTGTATCAACACTATAAAAACAAAGAGAAAAAAAGACATTCTTTAATGTGGAGTCCAAGATGTTTGTAAGTGAAAGTTGCTATGATATGTAAGTATTACATCTATTTTTTTGATCACCATATTGAGTGCCAATAGCCTTCAAAAGTCAATTCAGAGTTCTGATCTATAAACCATTGAACCTATTTTCTCTGCGCTGGACATTTTGGTTCAGCCATGTTGGACATTTGCTAAATGAAAATCTGGGAATCTTCCACAGATATTGCTTAAATTTCATAGAGAGTTTCTTGTCTCTATGGAGACCTTATGATGGGTTGTTTCCTTAATATAATATGACTGAACACAGGAGATGGGCCTTTTTGTAATTTACAGTGGCTATAACCTGATCATGATAGCAACTTGCAATTGAAGTTTACATCTGCAAGCTTACCGGCTACTACAACACATTATTTTACTTGCTGGATGGTAATGTACTATTTTAAAGAATTTGACACACTTAAGTTGCTAATAGCAGTGTCATTATGCCATCACACTGTCTGACTACCTGTCGGTAAATATCTTTCCAAAATTCTTTTCTCATTTAAAAGAAATTTCAAAGCAAATTAATGTTTTGCAGCCAGGTTGATTGCCATATTATTGGATGGGGAAAAAATTATAGATTATACTAACCTGGTTCTTACAGAAGCACTCTGGGGAGTCTCCGAAGTTCTTCTTTCACCATTAGTGCTGTTGACAAACCCAAAACAGTCCAGTTAATTTGCATATTGTGATTCCTCTACAAACCATGGCATAACTAATCCGACTCAAAAAAATTAATCTTAATCAAGCAAAGCAGAAGTTTAAATCTATTGCATGCCCTAGTGCAAGTTGGTTGGATGTATATTGTTTTAGGGAATGGGGTGATAAAATAGGGTTATCGAAAACAAGTTGGAAAAGGAGATCTAGCCTTTTATTTTTTCTAGGGTGGCTTTGTTAGTTCCGAAGAATAAAACTTTATATTAGTGCCTGCTATACACTCTGAAATGAGGTGGCTGGATGGAGTCACTGAAGCAGTAGGCGTGAGCTTAAATGGACTCCAGAAGATGGTAGAGGACAGGAAGACCTGGAGGAACATTGTCCATGGGGTCACAATGGGTCAGACACGACTTCGCAACTAACAACAACAACAACATAAACTCTTCTAATGCTCTGTCTTTAATTATCTGCATGGTTTTCAAAAGGAAGTCGACCATTTCAGCTAGAAATGGTCTTCTTCATACTAAAAGAGGAAAATAAGGATGATGACGGTAAATAATAATACCAATGAGAAGAAGAATAGTAATCGGTTATTTACCTCTTCCCACGACTGTTAAACCATGCTGAGGCAGGTACAGTATGACTCCTGGATCGTGGACCGAAGTCATCTGGTACGTCAATCCTTTCAAGAAAAGAAAACGCTCTTCAAATAAAATATAGAATTCCTCTCCCCTCTCAGTTGTTATAATAGAAGACATTTCTGTTCACATTGGTAAGCAACATAATCTTACTTACTTCTTAGCCACAAAGGACGGTACCTCTTGTGTTGGACTTCTGCAAACAGACAAGATTGTGGTTTACATATTAAAAAAATGAAAAATCTTTTCTGTTCAGAAGATCAGGGTATGCCTTTACGAGTGCATCCATGGTCTTGCAAATTAAAGTTATTTAATAGAATAGAATCATTTTACAAATGCATGCATGTTGCTATAAAAATGGCAGCTTTTCTAAGTTTCATTGTTTTGTGAATTAACGCTACTGGTACTGATTTTCTGAGTTTTGTCTTTGTATTTTCTTGGATTGTGACAATGAAAGAAATGACCTCTTCCATATTTCCCATGATCTCCAGTCAACATGGCGTTCCTTTTCAGACTTACCCTCCAGTTTTCTTTGCAGCTGAAAGGACATAGGAGCGCTCCCGGCCGGCCGTACGCCTGAGCACGCTGCTAGCAGCTTCTGCCCTACAAAACAAGGGATGGAAAAGGAGATGACACTCTGGCTCACAAAAACCCCAGGTTCTATTCTGGCCCCATCCCTCAGGAAATGCCGATCTTGGCAAGAGGTTCTTCCTCTTTTCCATGGCTGGAGAAAAGCATAAAGGATCAGGAATTAAATTTGTGTTGGTGAATGATAAACTCAGACAACACGTTTGTTGAATAAGTACTATTGAATTGTATGAAAAAACTAATAAAAACTTTATTAAAAAAAAAGACATCAAAAATGGAATCTCCAGATGGAGCGGAAAACTCCTTGCATGTTGACAGAACTAAATTAGCTGGACCAAGGATGTGGTTCCTTAGGAAGCAGCTTCCTCTGTTCCCAGCTGTGGAACTTCTGAATGCATTTATTGCTAGATTAAAAAGAGAAGGCTCTAGACCAGTGGTTCTCAACCTTTTTANTGCCTTGCTTAGCCGTGGAAAGTTTGGGCTCATTTGTGATCGTAAGTCAAGGACTTGCAATAGAAATCTTTTAGGAAGCAGGCTAATGACAGGGTCCTGAGATATTTAATAATAATAATAATAATAATAATAATAATAATAATAATAATAATAATAATAATAATAATAATAATAATAATAATAATAATAATAATAATAAAGTTGGAAGGGACCTTGGAGGTCATCGAGTCCAATCCCCTGCTCAGGCAGGAACCCTACACCATTTCAGACAAATGGCTGTCCAGTCTTTTCTTAAAAACTTCCAGTGTTGGAGCATTCACCGCTTCTGGAGGCAGGTTGTTCCACTGGTTAATTGTTCTAACTGTCAGGAAGTTTCTCCTTAGTTCTAAGTTGCTTCTCTCCTTGATGAGTTTCCATCCGTTGCTTCTCGTCCTGCCTTCAGGCGCCTTGGAGAATAGCTTGACTCCCTCTTCTTTGGGGCAGCCCCTGAGATATTGGAACACTGCTATCATGTCCCCCCTCATCCTTCTATTCATTAAACTAGACATACCCAATTCCAGCAGCCGTTCCTTGTATGTTTTAGCCTCCAGTCCCCTAATCATCTTTGTTGCTCTTGTCCCATTTCTCTTCCATACCTCTTTGAGTCAGCACCCTCGTTGTTGTCCAAGTGAGTGGATGTTCTGTAGCCCATTCCTGGGGATACTTCAGTGTTTTCCCTGGTGAAAAAGGAAGAAAGAAAGAGATCGTTCAGTATAGATGAAGAATTGGACATGTCACTGAAGAAAACCTGAGTTTGGTTGTTTTTCTCTTCCCTCCTCATCCCTTCTCTCTCTTTCTTTTTCTATCTCCTTTTCTCTTTCTCTTTCTCTGTTTCTGTTTCTCTCCCTTTCTCTTTTCTTTCTTCCCTTTCTTTTTCTCTCTCCTTTTCTTTCTGTTTCTTTCTTTTTTCTCTCTCTCCTTTTCCCTTTCTCTTTCTCTGTTTCTGTTTTTTTTTTTTGCTCTCTTTCGACATATGTGTGTGTATGTGTGTGTGAGTGTGTGTGTGTGTGTTAGCTTGTAAGCCTATGGAGAGAGAAACCGTTCTTAATTTTGAAAACTGAATAGGAAGATTAATTAAAATGCGCAACCAATTAAATCACCTTTTCTTGGAGAAAATCACCTAGAAAACCTCATGAGCTTCCATGGAGTCATAAGCCCTATGATAGAAAGGTATTTGTCTTATGCACTGTTGTCCCCGTAAAGCAAGGGGGTTATTAATTTCTGAGGAATTACTTATAGCATCGTTCTTCCAAGCTGGCGCTGTCCAACCGTTCCCATTAACTTTACCTAGCAAGGCCATCAAGTCTAGCACACCTGTGTTTGTTCTGCATCCAAGAACTTTGGAAAACTCAAAATAAATATTTAACTGACGTGCTTGTTGGGATTAAGGCAAGTATTATCCAAGCGTGTTATT